AAACTTCCTCTTTCCTCTTTAGGGCTTCCCTTCCCGCTCAGTTCCGAGCAGGCATCTCTGTCTCAGCCTCCCTCCCTGAGCTAAGTCCCCTCCACTCCAGGATTTATTTCAGGACTTGCTTCGCCTACTTTGTCTGACGTTTCTGACAAGCTGGGTGCTAGGGAGCCTTTCACCATCTGCCAGCCTCCGCCACCAGCCAGGCAGCCGGCAGTGGTGGCGAGCCTGAGCTCGTTCTCCACCCAGTTGAATCCTCTTCTACCCAGTTACTGATTAAGTACCTTCCCTCTCTAAAGCAAAGACACTCAGTACGGAGAGGCCCGGAGGTCAGCGGCTGCTGGGCGAGGCTGAATACGCTTTAAACTTCTCTCTCCCTCAAACTCTGGCTAAGCCTTAAACACATATTATCCTCAGCCTCAGCACACCTTAAAACAAAACAAAACAAGCCATGTAGACCAGGCTAGCCTTGTATCCCTTCCTCTGCTTCCCAAATGCTGGGACTAGCAGCATGTACTAACTAACATGCCTGCCCAGGTGTAGTGGCACATGCCTTTAATCCTGGCACTCTGGAGGCAGAGGGAGGCAGAGGCAGGGGTAGATTCTGTGAGTTCAAGGACAGCCTGATCTACAGAGGGAGTTCCAGAATACCCAGGGTAACCATGGAAAAAGCTTGCCTCAAAAAACCGATGATGGGGATGGGGATGGGGATGGTGTTGGTGGTGGTGGTGATGGCGATGATTGTTTTGTTTTGTCTTTTGGGACAGAATCTCACTGCGCAGCCTTAGCTGGCCTGAAACTCACTAAGCAGACCAGGTTGGCCTTGAACTCACGGGATACACACCTTTGGGACTAAAAAAGTGTGTCACCACAACCAGCTCTACTATGATAAAAAGAAAAACTTTTTTGTGTGTGCACGTGTGTGTCTGCCTGGGTATGTATGTGCGTATGTCTGGGCTCAAGTGCCATTATGCAAGGAAGCCAGGAGTCAGACAACAAGTTTCAGGGGTCAGTTCTTTCTCTGCGTCATGTGTGTGTGTGTGTGTGTGTGTGTGTGTGTGTGTGTGTGTGTTGGTGGGGGTGGGGTGGGGAGGGTATCACACCCAGGTTGTTACGCTGAGTGAGCTGCCTTGAACTTGTCCACATAATACCCTTTGACACCCCCAAGTAATTTTCCTCAAGCAGATAAGAAAAAAATATGCAAGGAGGTTTTTGGTTCATTCATATGGTGAATCCAATAATAAATTCATTAATAAAAATGATGATAAAGCACATCATGAAATTTCATGTAGTCATCAAAAAGAGTGAGGAAAAATCATAGGTGTCAGCGATGAATCATGTCCAAGATATATAAATGAAAAAGGCAAATCTGAGCAGGACACCTTATATAACCCTGTGTGTGGTGAGAGAGAGACACATCTTTTTACCCATATGCAAATATACAGAAGAATAGATTTAAAACTTGTTCGCAGCTCCTAAGTTTAGATCAGGGTATTTCTCTACTTTTTATTTGTTTGTTTATTTTCCGAGACAGGGTTTCTCTGTGTAGCCCTGGCTGTCCTGGACTCAATTTGTAGACCAGGCTGGCCCAGAACTCAGATCTGCCTGCCTCTGACTCCCCAAGCACTGGGATCAGAGGCGTGCGTCACCGCCACCCGGCTCAGTAAAACATTTTGAAGATTTTTTTTTTCTTACTTTATGTCAGTGTGTGTGTGCTCATGAGTAACGGTTGCTGGAGGGAGTTTGACATGGAACGCTAGGCAGTCTTCCCGACTCAGCCTTGAACCACCCAACTACGCACACCTGGCCAAGTAAGACTTTTTTTTTTTTTTTAAGGAAAAAATATGTTTTTCTTCATGTTCCAACCAGGAAAGGAGGTCCTAAGAATCCATCCAGACTCCCAGCATTAAGAGCCCCTGGCAATGTTCAACCTGCTGCTTCCAAGGAATTGTGCTTTGTCTGGGTGGGGGCGGGGCGTGGATAAGGAGCGTTTGGGATAGGGCAGGGTGTGCGGGTATGTGCCTTATAGCCTCCTCTCTGACATTTTCCCCTTCTACTGCTCACTGGTTGCCCATTCAGAACAGGCCCCTGATAGAGAATAGGCCATTCTCTGCGCTGAGGCCTGTCTGGTTCGTTTTGTTTTAAGACAAGGTGTCACTAGCCCTGGCTGGCCTCAAACTCACAGTGATCTGCCTGACTCTGACTCCAAAACGACGGTACCAGGCCTGTGCCACCAAGCCCAGCCTTCCTGACACCGTGACACATGTTGCCATCTGCCAATTTCAAAGCTGGAGAACCACACGCCTGAGTTCCCAGAAGTGGCGCAAACAGCTGGTAATGTTTTCAATAAGTTGATGATTTTTTGTTGGGCTGGATTCAGAACTGCCCTTCCCCCATGGGCTGGGCTTTCCTGGGAGATGCCTGCCTTAAGACTCTAATGATACACTGGGTGAAAGGAGGGTGTGGACTTTCTGGCCAGATTTGAAACCAGAGCTCTGTTAGGTTAGGAGATAAGACCTTCCACTCCCCAGGAAGGGAGTGAAGGAAGAAGCGGAAAGCTGGGCCTTAATCTAATCAAGGAAAGGGAATCCGAGCGATGTGGGGAGGAGTGGGAGCCCAAAGCACAGGGATAACAACTTGTTCTCCTGGGAGCAGGATCTGAAGGTACCCAGGAGGAGCCCTGTGCCCTTGGGCAAAGCCCTGCCCACTCTGATCCTTATGGGCTCTCCTCCTTGTCCACTTATGCTTGAGCGCAAGAGCAGCTGAGAAGGACTTGCAAGTGCAGGGGAATGGAGCCTTCTACCATCTCTGCCCAGAGAAGGAGAGGCCGGGAAGGAAAGGTGCAAGAAAATGCTGTCCCTGTGGATTCTGCATTCAGACTTGGGCAAGGAAAGAGGGTGGCCAGTGGGAGGGTGAGTCAGAAGGGAGCCCCGGCTCTGGGCCTACAAGTCTTCCAAGTACCAGTCCCAGCCACCACTCCTTGCCCCAGGGACCCTCTCCTCTGAGAGAAAATTATACTCCCCAGAAAAACCAGGATGAAGGAAATACAACCTGCCTCCAGCCATCACCCACTCACTCCATGCCTTGCCCCTTGGTCCAGTGTTCAAAACTCAGAATCCCTCAGGCAGGGCTGCAGAGTGGGAAATCTTCCCACTCTTTTCTGCAAGATAGGAAGGCAACCGCCTTTGCAACTATGAATGGGTCAAGGCAGGATGGTTCCAAAGCTCCCAATGTTTCCCCCACCCCCAGCTACAGTGCAGAGTTTTACTAAGAATTCCCCAGGGCGTCCCTCTCTCCACCACGCTGTCACTGTCAAGGCAATTGGCCTTTCCATCTCTCATCTGCCACCCTACCCCTCCTTCCTCTACCACTGCCAGCTGAACAGCCAAGCCCAAGGGTTTGGGGGCCTCCTATGGACCATGACCCCTGACCTGCTCAAAGGCTAAGGACCTAAGTGAGAAGGGTCGAGTTCTAAGTAGGTAGGAAGGAAAGGCGTTTTAATGGCATTTAGCTGACTCAGAATCAAGAGCTGACACCTCAGAAGCCAGAGACACAGAGCAAGAGACAGAGAGAGCAGGGAATACATCTCTTTACCTCTTTCCCCAAATCTAGAGATTTTAATCCCAGAGATGTGGAAAAGAAGAAGAAAAAGGAGAAGAAACAAGAACAAAATAAGGTCATTGAAGACTTTAGGACAAAAGCAGACTTGAGTGGGGAGAAAAGATCTCCCAGGACAAGCCTTCATCTGGCCAGGTCCTTCCCAGCCTGTTACTTGTCCCTAAACTGCAGAACCCTGCTCCAAAGGACTGAGAGCCATCAATCAGGTGTGTCAGAGAGGTTGGGTAGCACATACTCCTGGCAGAACCAGCCCAGCAGCTCTGTCAAGCTGTCCCTAGCACTGACGCACACTGGGGCACCCTTCCGGATCAGTGCACACTCACAGAGCTTTAAGGGAGTTGCAGGACAAATCTAGATGGCCCTGGAGTCAGCAGCAAGCTTCAGCTTTTGGAAGAGAAGCCTCCCCCAGAGACCACTGTTGAGAGTGAGGGACCCCTTTATCAGATCTCCCCGGGGCAAGACTGTCAAGTTGCTCTGAGGACCCCTTGTTTGCAAAGGCCGTGGGTGGGACTGGGGTTCTAGAAAGACTGTCCTTGGCTGCCTCAGGCCTCCCACCCAGATAGATTAGGAGAATCTTATTGTTCTATCAGACACAGCTGGCCTTCCTGCAGGGGGCGGGGCCCCTGGAAGCCTCCGCAGGAACCTGGCAACGTGCACACGTTATCTTACCACTATTGTGTGTGTTGCTGGGTCTCTCGGGGTCACCCCAGACTGGTTGGGTTCTTGATCTTCCGGCTTCCACCCCCCAAAGGCTAGGACTGCAGGTGTGCACCTCACAGGCCACTGTTTGCCCTGTTGACATCTGTAGATGGTGTCCCGCCCCCTTCTCGTCTCACAGGTTGGGAGTGGGGAGGAGGATGACTTCTGTCCCCTCTAGGGAGACTCGCTGCTGTTCCCGAGGCTGAAAGGCTCAGGCTGAGTCACCAGGCCAACCCAGGTCTCCGCAGCGCCAGCAAGCTGCCAGAGAGCTGCAGTCAGCAGGACTGAGCTCTTGGGAGGTGGCTTAAGGCCAGGAATTACTTTCCATTCTTACCACCTCCTCCGAAAGGGTAAAGAAATCAGGCAGAGTGATGGGGCTAAAATGACCCTTCAAGGGTACAGACAGACCGAAGGGCCGATCCTCTGCCACAGGCAGACCCAAGAGCAGCTGGTCTCAGGGGCAGACGCCAGAGGAAGTCAGAGAAGGCAAAAAGGAGCCAAAGCCCCTGAACTAATAGCTTTGGAGGTTTTCAATGACCCCCAGGGTTTCTACCAGCCAACCCCTGAGCGCTTGTTTTGTTCATTCCGGATAAACATTCCCCCTTCCCCTATTATCCATGTAAATCCCAAACTCTCCACAGGGCTAGGACAAGTAAGGCGAGAAGCAGTTACCAGGTCAAAACAAGAGCTAGAATCATCCGACTTTAATAACTTACAGGCAAATGCTAAAAAACAGTAATACGAAGGACACACAAGGCTTATATATTAAAAAAAAGGCCGGGGATCTACAAACGTGAGCAGGATTCTTGGCACTTTCACAGACTCTGAAAAGGCTGTGACTTAGGAGAGTAGCTGAGGAGAACCCCCCAAGGTGGGGAGAGGGAAGATGTTCCCCATTCATTCCCAAAAGCATTCTCCAGACAACTTCCTGCACACCCTCCCCCTGAAAAAGTAAAAACATACATCCAAATAAAAAACGCTAGGGAAGGAAAAGGAGAACCAGGGTCGAGGTAGAGTCGGCATTTGTATTTGTCTCTGCGTCTTGCAGCCTCCACCCTCTACAGGTGAAGGGCAGTAAAGACGCTCCGTCTCCCCTCCCCCTGTGTGGCACCGAAACAGGGGGCCCCCCATGCTCCTTCGGTCCTTTGAAGTGGACAGGTCCAGCACCCAGGCTGGCGGAGAGGTCACAGGCCCTGCCTGTCTGTCGTGTGTACTGAGCCCTAGCAGGTAGGGTAGGGGCAGCGTGCGGTCACCGTCTCTTCCTGCTTGCCCGAGGTGCCTTCTTCCTCTTGAGGATCATCTCATACAGCCGCTCCAGTCCTGGCTGCAGGCCCAGCCCGTCCACAGCGCTGCAGCCCTGCACGTGGGTGAGCGTGGCCACTGCCAGCTCTCGGACTGCCAGCCTCTTCTCCACCTCGGCCGCGCTCAGTGCCCCCGGCTGGTCCTGCTTGTTGGCCAGCACCAGCACGGGGACCCCCTGGTTGTCAGAGGCCTTACTGATGCGGTGTAGCTCCACTTTGGCTTCCTCTAACCTCTCGGCTTCCGTAGAGTCCACCACAAACACCAGTCCGTCTGTCCGGCGGGTGTAGGAGCGCCACAGCGGCCGAAGCTTCTCCTGACCCCCAACGTCCCACACTTGGAAAGTGATCCCACGGGACCCCCCCAAGGGCACTCGGATCTTCTCAGTGTTGAAGCCCTTGGTGGGAACGCTCTGGACAAACTCCTTGAACTTGAGGCGGTAAAGGAGGGAAGTCTTCCCCGCCGAGTCCAGCCCTATGACCACGACATGCAAGGCCTGGAAGTGGGGCAAAAAGGACGAGGCTGTGGGTGCCATCTCAGTCAAGTGGTTCCCCATGGTGAGCTAGAGTGCAGGGGAGGATCAAGGAGAAGGTCTAGGGCTCCAGGCGGAGGAGGAGGGGGCGGCGGCAGGCCTTGAAATGGCAGGTAGCACAAACTCGGTGCTTTCCTAAACAAGGTCAAAAGAGAAAAAAAAAAAAAAAAAGGAGAGAGAGAGAAAGGTTTAGCATAAACGCGAATTTGTAACTTTTGGATCCTTTCCCTAATCAGCGTCCCACTCTTCTAAAAATTCCTTTTAGTAAAACAGTTTAGGTAAATTATTTTGTGCGTGTGTGTAAGCCACACGCAGGTTGTGAGTGGAAGTCAGGACAACTTGCAAGAGTATGTAGGTCTCAGGGATCAAATGCGAGTCCTCCTGCTTTAGGGTAGGCGATTTTGACCGCTGAGCCATCTCCCGCGCCCTCCCCTTTTCTAAAAAAGAAAAGTACCTACAGGTGCAACAGAGGGTAAACATTCCCCCTTCCCCCATGATCCATGCAGTTCTCCTGCCCTAGGGCCCAAGAAACCCTCAGGGTGCGGGTCGCGCGGGCTAGATCCGAGGGAAGGTCGTCTCCCCGCGCCCCTCCCCGGGCTTCAGCGAAGGCAGACTGCTGGGATCTCCCTTCCCTAGAGGAGAATCCCCGCAGGGGGGCGGCGATCGGGCAGTGCGCCCGAAGGACGAGCCGCGAGGCGGGTCCGGCTCGGCCCCGCGGGTGCTGGGACCGCCATCCCCGCGCCCCTGGAGTTCTCCAGCGGGCCTCTCCCCGGCTGTCCGCACCGGCTCCCCCAAGCCCAGCGAGCCGGCGGCTCCGCGCCGCCCGGGCGCCCGCCTTTACCTTCAGCCAGCCGCGCTCCGGGCCGGCGACCTCGACCCGGCGCGTCCGCCCGCCCTCCGCGTCTCAGCCACGGCGGACTTTGCGGGGCCGCGGCGCAGGTTCCGCGTTTAAAAACCCTCTCGTGACGTCACAAGGCGCCGACCAATCGGCGCCGCCCGGGGGCGGAGCCCGGCCGGGACGGAGCCAGCCCCCCC